TGTTCGCAACATAGAGGCATGAGGGAGTGTATATAGATAGATAGATAGATAGATATATAGATAGATAGATAGATAGATAGATAGATAGATAGATAGATAGATAGATAGATAGATAGATCGATAGATAGATCGATAGATAGATCGATAGATCGATCTATCTATCTATCTATATACACTCCCTCATGCCTCTATGTTGCGAACATAGAGGCAGATAAGGGGACAAGAGCGTGCCTGTCGTATCTCTCAATCATTTCATTACATCATGACCAGTTTTCATGTGAAGATCACTCATCACTCCGGGTTCCATGTCTTGGCCTTTCTCGGAAGCTTGACCACCGCCGACGTTTGGTGAATATGTATTACTATCACTGACTTTTGCTATCACCACTGTAATTTTGTATTTGACACTGACCACTGCCATCACATTATGTACTGCCATTGAATATTGTACTACCACTCCATTGTTTACTGCCATTGAATATTGTACTACCACTCCATTGTTTACTGCCATTGAATATTGTACTACCACTCTATTGTTTACTGCCATTGAATATTGTACTACCACTCCATTGTTTACTGCCATTGAATATTGTACTACCACTCCATTGTTTACTGCCATTGAATATTGTACTACCACTCTATTGTTTACTGCCATTGAATATTGTACTACCACTCCATTGTTTACTGCCATTGAATATTGTACTACCACTCTATTGTTTACTGCCATTGAATATTGTACAACCACTCTATTGTTTACTGCCATTGAATATTGTACTACCACTCTATTGTTTACTGCCATTGAATATTGTACTACCACTCCATTGTTTACTGCCATTGAATATTGTACAACCACTCTATTGTTTACTGCCATTGAATATTGTACTACCACTCTATTGTTTACTGCCATTGAATATTGTACTACCACTCCATTGTTTACTGCCATTGAATATTGTACTACCACTCTATTGTTTACTGCCATTGAATATTGTACTACCACTCTATTGTTTACTGCCATTGAATATTGTACAACCACTCTATTGTTTACTGCCATTGAATATTGTACTACCACTCTATTGTTTACTGCCATTGAATATTGTACTACCACTCCATTGTTTACTGCCATTGAATATTGTACTACCACTCTATTGTTTACTGCCATTGAATATTGTACTACCACTCTATTGTTTACTGCCATTGAATATTGTACTACCACTCCATTGTTTACTGCCATTGAATATTGTACTACCACTCCATTGTTTACTGCCATTGAATATTGTACTACCACTCTATTGTTTACTGCCATTGAATATTGTACTACCACTCCATTGTTTACTGCCATTGAATATTGTACTACCACTCTATTGTTTACTGCCATTGAATATTGTACAACCACTCTATTGTTTACTGCCATTGAATATTGTACTACCACTCTATTGTTTACTGCCATTGAATATTGTACTACCACTCTATTGTTTACTGCCATTGAATATTGTACTACCACTCTATTGTTTACTGCCATTGAATATTGTACTACCACTCTATTGTTTACTGCCATTGAATATTGTACTACCACTCTATTGTTTACTGCCATTGAATATTGTACAACCACTCTATTGTTTACTGCCATTGAATATTGTACTACCACTCTATTGTTTACTGCCATTGAATATTGTACAACCACTCTATTGTTTACTGCCATTGAATATTGTACTACCACTCTATTGTTTACTGCCATTGAATATTGTACAACCACTCTATTGTTTACTGCCATTGAATATTGTACTACCACTCTATTGTTTACTGCCATTGAATATTGTACTACCACTCTATTGTTTACTGCCATTGAATATTGTACTACCACTCTATTGTTTACTGCCATTGAATATTGTACAACCACTCTATTGTTTACTGCCATTGAATATTGTACTACCACTCTATTGTTTACTGCCATTGAATATTGTACTACCACTCCATTGTTTACTGCCATTGAATATTGTACTACCACTCTATTGTTTACTGCCATTGAATATTGTACTACCACTCCATTGTTTACTGCCATTGAATATTGTACTACCACTCTATTGTTTACTGCCATTGAATATTGTACTACCACTCCATTGTTTACTGCCATTGAATATTGTACTACCACTCCATTGTTTACTACCACTCCATTGTTTACTGCTTTTGTAATTGCTGTGCAGTAATTTGTGTTGATTTGTAAACCTAGTTAATCTTGTAATACATATGTTGAATGTATCTAGTTTTGCCACCAGGAATACAGCCCTTCTGACAACCTTCAGGTTTCAGGCTTCAGTGTTGGGGAGTCTTCACATCCTCCGAAAAGTTCTCGGTGGATTCGACTAGGTTGTTCACCCTGGGAGAAGTCCCATTTTCTGTCTGTGCAGCGTGTAGAGGGTGTAAGGGCCCAGAGCTGATGATGAGTCTTACCATTCTGACTGTGTCAGGATCATCCAAATCCTCTTTGCTGCAATGGTCTATCTATTCTATAAATAAATTGATAATCATAATCATAATCATAATAATAATAATAATAATAATAATAATATGAAATGTAGATTATGTAATTTATTTGTCAGTGGATGCCAAATACAAAATCCTTTGGAATAGACCCATTTCTTGGCTGCGTGTAGAGCTGATGATGAGCCTAACCAGCCTGACTGTGCCAGGATCGCCCAAACTCTCTTTGCTACATTTTTTATTTTAATCTGTAAATAATAATAGGGCCTGATAATGTACGCCTCTCCGTGGTAACTGAAATACTGACACCTAGTGATATAACTGAAATATTGACACACCGTGATATAACTCAAATACGGACACGCCGTGATATAACTGAAATAAGGACACGCCGTGATATAACTCAAATACGGACACACCGTGATATAACTGAAATAAGGACACACCGTGATATAACTCAAATACGGACACGCCGTGATATAACTGAAATAAGGACACGCCGTGATTTAACACAAATACGGACACGCCGTGATATAACTGAAATAAGGACACGCCGTGATTTAACACAAATACGGACACGCCGTGATATAACTGAAATAAGGACACGCCGTGATTTAACACAAATACGGACACGCCGTGATATAACTGAAATAAGGACACGCCGTGATTTAACACAAATACGGACACGCCGTGATATAACTGAAATAAGGACACGCCGTGATTTTACACAAATACGGACACGCCGTGATATAACTGAAATAAGGACACGCCGTGATTTTACACAAATACGGACACGCCGTGATATAACTGGGGGGTGAGGTGGGTTAGCCAAGTGGTTTATGCGTTGGCTCGTCATGCTGAAGACGTACATGGGTACACTTCGTGAAGCCCATTTCAACTGTCTCAAGTCGTGATATTGCAAGAATATTGCAAAAAGCGACGTTAAACCATACTCGCACGCTATAACTGGAACAATGTCCAAAACGTCATACAACTTTCGTTTCTCACGGTTCTTTCTAGGTCATTCTGTCATTTCCCATGTATTATGTTGCTTACATAGTCCTAGCCCACTTAGATACAATGTTGCGGTGTAACATGGATACCCTACTCAGACACAGTGTACTCTCCCCGAGCCGCCCAGCCCTTGATTTTGCCCCTTAATGCTGAACACCAGGCAGAGTAGCAAGTGCCGTCGTTTAACGTCTTTAAACATACTTTTGTATGACACGCCCGGGGTTCGAACCGCCGACCTTCCACTCACTGAGCTGACGTATTATCCACTTTATCCACTTGACCACGTGATCAGTAAGTCTAGGCACTTATAAGAATGGACATCGATATCGTTTGTTTTTATGCATGTGTAAACATAAAACTCGATGTGCACACTTTCCTTACGGGTTTACACATTCTGCACACCAGTTTTGAAGTTTGTATGCAACTCTTTTGTTCGCGTGCATTAACCAGCATACATTATTGTTAAGGTATGAAGCCAAATATAAGCGCATGGTTTGAAATAACTCGAGGTTTAACGCCAATTTGAACAGTATTCCAGTAATAGCCGCAAAGTCTGTTTGATGTGTGAGTAAAACCCAGGTGATGCAGGTATGGGGCGTTTTCCACTTTGGTGATGCCACGAAACACGAATACGGGGCTGGTGCAAACAAACCAAGAATCATACTCCAATACTCGAATTGTCGAATCTGGGATTCGAAACCGCGCTTATGGGTTTCTGGCAAACGTTTGTTTACAGACATTACTTACCTCGTCGAATACCCTTCCCTTGAACACCCGATTCCACTTAGCTTATGAGATATATGCATATGATGCAGAAACAATGATAGATATTTTAATGAAAGAAATATCCGCCTTGTTCATGTGAATGTTATCAAGAAGATCATTTACGTTATTACCCAACATGTCAAATAGAATAGACTGACTACCCAAAGTCAATGATATACGATACTGTAATATATGGTTGCACATCACAATTTTCTCTTTTGCATCATATAATGTAATGCACGCACCATTGAATTTAGTGGGGGCACGGGTGGCCCAGTCGTCTAAGGCGCCGCGATTCGCTGTGCAGAGATGCGTCCCTTGGGCACGCCAGAAACCTATGATTGTGGGTTCGAATCCTGGTTCGCCCCGATTATGTTTCTAGGTTTGTCAGCACCATACCCGTGCTCGTGGGTTTCACCGAAGTGGTAAACGTCTGAGACCTGCATCACTTCGGGCCTTCCTCCCACATTAAGCTGACACGCCGTGATATAACTGGAATAATGTTAAAAGCGGCGTTAAACCCAACTCACTCACTCACACTCATTGAATTTAGTAACAGAAGTTGAGGCTCTCCGTCGACTCACCCGGATTATGATTCTTTGTTTGTCTTTAACATAAGATGACACGTTAAGATACTGAAATACTGTTAAGCGACCTTTATCCCAACTCACTGACTATCTTAATGCATTAAACCAACTACTTCCACTCTTCTTGGATTTACCCATCAGGCAAACACACGGACACAAACATCATGACATTTATTGGCAATGCAAGTTCTGCACTCTACAGGATTACATGCGAGTCAGACACACGTAGTTTGTGAGGAAATCAAGCATCGCTCTCCCAGCCTCGTCCAGGACGTCAGTCTCAGCATTGACCCTGTTCAGTTCCTGAACCGCTTCTGGCAACGTCTCGGCAAGTTTTGCTGCTCTGTCGAGGAAGCCGGCCCGGGTATGGAAGGTGATGAGACCAGTTGAGACATAGGCAGCATGTAGAGACCTGTCGTAGATGCGGGGCTCCTGTCTGATAGCAGAGACGACTAGGGCTTCTGGTAGACGGGAACGATCCTTGTAGCCACCGTGGACGAGTTCAGCATAGAACAAAGTGGTGTGGATGAACTCATGAACAATTTGTTCTGCCATCAACGGTACCGTCCAGTCTTTCCGGGGATCCAACCATATAAGCCCTACAGCAGACTGGACCGTCCCACTTGTAAACATGTCAGATTCGTCTTTGAAGAAGGCAATGGAAGAAACCATTTGAACTATTGCGCTGTACAGCTCAGTGTGAGTCGTGTTGATCAAGTCCAGTGCGCTGTTCGCTAGCAGAACTATCCTTTCTCGCTCATCCTTAGTGAAGAGGTGTTTCCCTGCTTTCGTGTAGGACTTTGAATCTGGTACAATGTTTAATCGGTTCAGTCCGTCAATGACATCTTCCTCTCCAAAGCTAAACATTATCTGGTTCCCCTTTACAGGCAGAGGGGTGCCTTGCAAATCTTGAATTTCCTTGAAAAATTCTTCTTTTAAAGTCTCGTTTCCAGTGATAATTTCGTTTGTCAAACCATAAGCAGCCAGACGTTGATTCATTATATTCACATCGAATCGGAAGGGCCAGAACAGATTCATGAAAACGGGGGTCATCCCGATCAAAGAAGCGTGAGTTGGCATCGGCACCTTGGATAGTTCGCCACAGCTGCCAGGTAAGATGTTTAAAACATCGCTCCACGAGTTGAAGTAAGAATCAATGTCGTCACTGACCTTTTTTCTAAGATCTGAAGCTTTATGAAACCACGCCAGAATGTCATTTGGATTTTCAATTTTGCCAACACTGGATCCCACTAATGGGCGATGTGGCAACACCACTTCTCGCTTCGCTGCCAGTAATGGGCGATCAGTTCCCTCGTATTTGAAATTTGCAAGAACATGAGGTACCGTAACTGGTTTTTCATTATTTAACCACTCCTGTACCGACACCACTTCTCGCTTCGCTGCCAGTAATGGGCGATCAGTTCCCTCATATTTGAAATTTGCAAGAACATGAGGCACCGTAACTGGTTTTTCATTATTTAACCATTCCTGTACCGACACCACTTCTCGCTTCGCAGCAAGTAATGGGCGTTCGGTTTCCTCGTATTTAAAGTTTGCAAGAACCTGAGGCACCGTAACTTGTTTTTCATTATTTAACCATTCCTGTGGCAACAAATCTTCTCGCTTTGCAGCCAGTAATGGGCGTTCGGTTTCCCCATATTTAAAGTTTGCAAGAACCTGAGGTACCGTAACTGGTTTTTCATTATTTAACCATTCCCGTACCGACACCACTTCTCGCTTCGCTGCAAGTAATGGGCGTTCGGTTTCCTCGTATTTAAAGTTTGCAAGAACCTGAGGCACCGTATCTTGTTTTTCATTATTTAACCATTCCCGTACCGACACCACTTCTCGCTTCGCTGCAAGTAATGGGCGTTCGGTTTCCTCATATTTAAAGTTTGCAAGAACCTGAGGTACAGTAACTTGTTTTTCATTATTTAACCATTCCTGTGGCAACACATCTTCACGCTTTGCAGCCAGTAATGGGCGTTCGGTTTCCTCGTATGTAAAGTTTGCAAGAACATGAGGTACAGTAACTTGTTTTTCATTATTTAACCATTCCTGTGGCAACACATCTTCACGCTTTGCAGCAAGTAATGGGCGTTCGGTTTCCTCGTATTTAAAGTTTGCAAGAACCTGAGGTACAGTAACTTGTTTTTCATTATTTAACCATTCCTGTGGCAACACATCTTCACGCGTTGCAGCCAGTAATGGACGTTCGGTTTCCTCGTATTTAAAGTTTGCAAGAACCTGAGGTACAGTAACTTGTTTTTCATTATTTAACCATTCCTGTGGCAACACATCTTCACGCTTTGCAGCCAGTAATGGGCGTTCGGTTTCCTGGTATTTAAAGTTCGCAAGAACCTGAGGCACCGTAACTTGTTTTTCATTATTTAACCATTCCTGTGGCAACACTTCTTCTCGCTTTGCAGCCAGTAATGGGCGTTCGGTTTCCTCGTATTTAAAGTTTGCAAGAACCTGAGGTACAGTAACTTGTTTTTCATTATTTAACCATTCCTGTGGCAACACTTCTTCTCGCTTTGCAGCCAGTAATGGACGTTCGGTTTCCTCGTATTTAAAGTTTGCAAGAACCTGAGGTACAGTAACTTGTTTTTCATTATTTAACCATTCCTGTGGCAACACTTCTTCTCGCTTTGCAGCCAGTAATGGGCGTTCGGTTTCCTCGTATTTAAAGTTTGCAAGAACCTGAGGTACAGTAACTTGTTTTTCATTATTTAACCATTCCTGTGGCAACACTTCTTCTCGCTTTGCAGCCAGTAATGGGCGTTCGGTTTCCTCGTATTTAAAGTTTGCAAGAACCTGAGGTACAGTAACTTGTTTTTCATTATTTAACCATTCCTGTGGCAACACTTCTTCTCGCTTTGCAGCCAGTAATGGGCGTTCGGTTTCCTCGTATTTAAAGTTTGCAAGAACCTGAGGTACAGTAACTTGTTTTTCATTATTTAACCATTCCTGTGGCAACACTTCTTCTCGCTTTGCAGCCAGTAATGGGCGTTCGGTTTCCTCGTATTTAAAGTTTGCAAGAACCTGAGGTACAGTAACTTGTTTTTCATTATTTAACCATTCCTGTGGCAACACTTCTTCTCGCTTTGCTGCAAGTAATGGGCGTTCGGTTTCCTCGTATTTAAAGTTCGCAAGAACCTGAGGCACCGTAACTTGTTTTTCATTATTTAACCATTCCTGTGGCAACACTTCTTCTCGCTTTGCAGCCAGTAATGGGCGTTCGGTTTCCTCGTATTTAAAGTTTGCAAGAACCTGAGGTACAGTAACTTGTTTTTCATTATTTAACCATTCCTGTGGCAACACTTCTTCTCGCTTTGCAGCCAGTAATGGGCGTTCGGTTTCCTCGTATTTAAAGTTTGCAAGAACCTGAGGTACAGTAACTTGTTTTTCATTATTTAACCATTCCTGTGGCAACACTTCTTCTCGCTTCGCTGCCAGTAATGGGCGTTCGGTTTCCTCGTATTTAAAGTTCGCAAGAACCTGAGGCACCGTAACTTGTTTTTCGTTATTTAACCATTCCTGTGCCAACAGCTGTTCTCGCTTCGCTGCCAGTAATGGGCGTTCGGTTTCCTGGTATTTAAAGTTCGCAAGAACCTGAGGCACCGTCACTTGTTTTTCGTTATTTAACCATTCCTGTGCCAACAGCTGTTCTCGCTTTGCAGCCAGTAATGGGCGCTCAGTTTCCTCGCTTTTGATGTTTGCAAGAACCCGAGGCGTAGGAACTGTTTTTTCATTATTTAACCATTCCTGTGCCAACTCCTGTTCTCGCTTTGCAGCCAGTAATGGGCGCTCGGTTTCCTGGTTTTTGAAGTTTGCAAGAACCTGAGGTACTGATGTTTTTTCATTATTTAACCGATCCTGTGTCAACGACTGTGCTCGCTTTGAAACATCTTCCCGTAGCCATTTGCTAATCTTTAGTCTGTCAAACTGCTTTTCGTGGACTCCTTTGAAATTTCCAACCGTGTAACTCTTGAAATATCCTTTCATGTTGTCATGCAACGCACTTTTGAATCCATGTTTCGTTTTCTTCGAGAGACTACCAGTGATGAACGTTGTCCAACACAGAAGGAACAGGAGAGTTCTCAGTTCCATACCTGTGGGGGAAAATGTGCGTTTCTATTTACATCCGGCAATAAAATTAATGTATGGTAATTATCCTTATCCTTAATAGTAACGTAGCTCTACATTGAAAACAGTCTGTATATAACGCCCTCAAGTGTACCAGGAACTTAGCTCTACACTGAAAACAGTCTGTATATAACGCCCTCAATTGTACGGGTAAAGTAGATCTGCATTGAAAACAGTCTGCATATAACGCCCTCAATCAACGGGTAACGTAGCTCTACATTGAAAACAGTCTGTATATAACGCCCTCAACTATACTAGTAACGTACATCTACACTGAAAACAGTCTGTATATAACGCCCTCAATTATACGGGTAAAGTAGATCTGCATTGAAAACAGTCTGTATATAACGCCCTCAATTATACGGGTAAAGTAGATCTACATTGAAAACAGTCTGTATATAACGCCCTCAACTATACTAGTAACGTAGATCTACATTGAAAACAGTCTGTATATAACGCCCTAAATTGTACGAGTAACGTAGATCTACATTCAAAACTGTCTGTATATAACGCCCTAACTTGTACTAGTAACGTAGATCTACCTAACACGCAGGGACGGTTCACCACCCCTTGTATTTGCGACGAAAAACGTAATTTCCAAGATTTTTTCAAAAAATGTTTGAAAAATCTTAAAACATAAAAACAAAAGTAACAAAAATTATTTAGGGTCACGAAGGTTCTGTCTGTATCATACATATAGATATGATTATAAACAAAATCAACTTTAACAGACAAAAATTCTTGAAAACTATGAGAGTGATGTTGGAAAGCTAAGGAATACACGCTGGTCAAGTAAAAAAATGGCACTTTTCGAAACGAACAATCTCGATAGACGAGTTCATAACGAAACATTTTCAAGATATTAATAAACGGCATGACGCGATATTAACTTCATAAATGACCATCTGTCATTATTTTGCCTTGTCAGTGTGGAACTAACGTAAAAAGTCAATAGTTTGTGTACGGGCCACACATTTACGATAAAGGGAGACAATTTGAGTATGTGAGTGAGTGAGTATGGTTTTACGCCGCTTGTAGCAATATTCCAGCAATATCACGGCGGAGGACACCAGAAATGGGCTTCCTTCATTGTATCCATGTCGGATATTGAACCCGGGTCTTCGGCGAGACGAGCGAACACTTTAACCACTAGGCTACCCGACCGCCCCGAGACAATTTGAGGAGAGGTAACTCTTGTATGACAACAGCTCCGTCAAAGTGTTATGTTCACAGCAGTGACATATCAAGCGTGACGTTCACAACAGTGACATATCAAGCGTGACGTTCACAGCAGTGACATATCAAGCGTGACGTTCACAGCAGTGACATATCAAGCGTTACGTTCACAGCAGTGACATATCAAGCGTGACGTTCACAGCAGTGACATATCAACCGTTATGATCACAGCAGTGACATATCAAGCGTTACGTTCACAGCAGTGACATATCAAGCGTTATGATCACAGCAGTGACATATCAAGCGTTACGTTCACAGCAGTGACATATCAAGCGTTATGATCACAGCAGTGACATATCAAGCGTTACGTTCACAGCAGTGACATATCAAGCGTTACGTTCACAGCAGTGGCATATCAAGCGTTATGTTCACAGCAGTGGCATATCAAGCGTTATGCTCACAGCAGTGGCATATCAAGCGTTATGTTCACAGCAGTGACATATCAAGCGTTATGTTCACAGCAGTGACATATCAAGCGTTATGTTCACAACAGTGACATATCAAGCGTTATGTTCACAGCAGTGACATATCAAGCGTTATGTTCACAGCAGTGACATATCAAGCGTTATGTTCACTGCAATGAGTGTGAGTGAGTGAGTGAGTTGGGTTTAACGCCGCTTTTAACAGTTTTCCAGTCATATCGCGGCGTGTCAGTTTAATGTGGGAGGAAAGCCCGAAGTGAAGCAGGTCTCAGACGTTTACCACTTCAGTGAAACCCACGAGCACGGGTATGGTTGACAAACCTAGAAACATAATTCAAAGCAATGAAAATATTTCTTTTCTCAACATCGGATCATATCATATCCGTATCTCTTACCTAAACAATCTGGAAGAGTACCCGAAGTCGCCGGGATTCACTTTGTATAGATGCTTCCAAGAGTTGCGTTTCCAGGATCCGGTGATCTACGATTCGAATACAAATTTATACTGATTATGTTTCTCGTCAGCAACATATCCCTTCACAGGCATTTCCCAAAAAGTGTACATGCCTAACCCAGATTAATCCCAGTCGCCTGGTTATAACTAAAATATTGTTAAAAGCGGCGTTAAATACAATCAAGTGTTTGAATAACCTTCAGAAGTGGATCACATAAGATAGGTGAGGTGAAATTGTGTTTAACGTCGCTTCCAAGATTATTGCACTTATATGGCGATGTGCATGTACGTGTGTGTGTTAATGTGGCTGCTTGTACTAGTCCGGACTGATGCCGATTTATAGTGCTAGCCATACCATGCAGATACCATGCAGATACCCTGCAGCAGTTTAACATGAATACCCCACTCAGACACAGCATACTGACTCCGAGCCGACCAGTCCTTGTTTCAGCCCCTTAATGCCGAGCGCGAGACATGGTAACAACAAGCACCATCTTTTAACGTCTTTTGGTATGACGCGGCCGGGGATCGAAGCCCGGGTCTTCCGCTCTCCGGGCGGACGCTCTACCACTAGACCACGGAGGCGGTCCTCACATGTGAGAGAGAATTTATGGGTGTCAACATCTTAATGATGGGGAACGCAACGTTTGGGAGTACATGCTTACTCCTTACTTCCATGTGTCCATCGCTAAAGACAGACCAGAACAAATTAACTGTTGGCTTCCCTTGTTAAGTTCCTACTTTATTATCTTGTATGACTTTTGTTGTTTTACATGTACATATGTTTCCTCTCTGTCTCCTAGCATTCATTCATCATATACTCCGAAACATTGTGTTCCTCATAATAAATAAGAGGCGGTAGCATAGTCTAGCGGTTAAAGCGTTCGCTCGTCACGCCGAAGACCCGAGTTCGATTCCCACATGGGTACAATGTGTGAAGCCCATTTCTGGTGTCCCCCGCCGTGATATTCCCGGAATATTGCTAAAAGCGGTGTAAAACCATACTCACTCACTCACTCACTCACTCACTCACTCACTCACTCACTCACTCATAAATAAATAAATAAATAAATAAATAAATAAATAAGTTGACATCCATACATTTTCTCTCTTATGTTAAATACAATGTATTAAACGTCATCACCAGAGAACAATCAGTCTCGATTATCTGCCGAAACAGTTTTCATTAGTGCTAAAGGAAAACTAGTGACGAAATTATATGAATGGATCACTGAAACCAAGTCACATACTTATGTAGTGAAACTGAGAGTAACATCGAACCCACAGTGCCTTCTAACCCAAATAAGGGGGCACGGGTGGCCCAGTCGTCTAATGCGCCGCGATTCGCTGTGCAGAGTTGCGTCCCTTGGGCACGCCAGAAACCTATGATTGTGGGTTCGAATCCCGGTTCGCCCCGATTATGTTTCTAGGTTTGTCAGCACCATACCCGTGCTCGTGGTAAACGTCTGAGACCTGCATCACTTCGGGCTTTCCTCCAACATTAAGCTGACACGCCATGATATAACTGGAATACTGTTAAAAGCGGCGTAAAACCCAACTCACTCACTCATTCACTCTAACTAAAATAGACTCACCGGGCAAAAGAGCTTTTCGAGATGTAATGTTCCTGGGACTTCACCGTATCCCAATTGCGTAAATCGATGCTCATGATATCAATCACTGGATTATCTGTTCCAGACTCGATTATTTACCGCCGTCATATAACTGGAATATTGCTGAATGCGGCGTCAAACAACAAACAAACAAAGTAACCAGAAAGTCTTATCAACGTATGTAAGAATCGGTCGTGAACGGGCATGGATAGATTCCACAGTGGCTTCCTGGCAGTAACATTGTAACGAAGAGAATTATTCTTACCTAAAGTCTGGAACTGCGACTGATGGTGTGCATACACCCACATGGATAGATATATATACCTTCGGAGTACCGATAGCGAACGCCTGTTACGTCTAGTTGATAAACAACCGTCATATTTCCCATACAGATAAGTATTTTCAACTTCTTTCATATTAAATCCAAACATACCTTCAAGTTAAAAATCATCAGATAAGCATGCTGTAGGGGCCTTTACCCGGGTCTTCTTTTTGACGAGCATACCAAGGTAATCACACTGCCACAGATCGTACAAGCATGGTGTCCAGGGGCCCTCTTGGGGAGGATAAACACACCGTCCTGCCTCAACGATTTCATATAAGTTTACCTGGGTTTTGAGCACACTGGAGACAAGCGGTGCATACGTGTGGCACATGCATGACATGATGGGTTTTTTTCTTTTCTTTTGTTTTTTTGTTTAACGCCGCTCTCAGCAATATTCCAGCTATATCATGGCGGTCTGTAATTAATCGAGTCTGGACCAAACATTCCAGTGACTGACATCATGAGCATCGATCCACGCGATTGGGATACGATGACATGCATCAACCAAGTCAGGAGCCTGACCATCCGATCCCGTTAGTCGCCAGATAAGCATGATGTGGTCCACGCATGAACTGTACCTGATTCTTCCTTGCGACGAGCGAACACAGCTGTATGTTGGTTGGTTGGTTGGTTGGTTGGTTGTTTAACGCCGCACTCAGCAATTTTCCAGCTATATGACGGCGGTCTGTAAATAATCGAGTCTAGACCAGACAATCCAGTGATTAATATCATTAGCATCGATCCTCGCAATTGGGATCGATGACATGCATCAACCAAGACAGCGAGTCTGCCCACCGATCCCGTTAGTCGCCTCCTACGGCAAGCATCGTTGCCTTGTACGGCAAGCATGGGTTGCTGAAGACCTATTCTACCCCGGATCTTCACGGGTCTGACATGATGTAATACGACAACGATCTACCTGTGCCTTGCAGTCACCTTGTTTCAAACCATAACGACCTACGTAACTAAGGTGCGAGAGCTGTAATTCACCAATCGTTTTCCAATATTTGACGTCATCATTCGGATACAAACACAGACCATGTATGTTCAGTTGATATATTTTCAGAAGGAAATGATCGGAATACCAACCGAAAAAAATATATTAGATTTCTTGCTTGCTCTACTTTCGAATACAATTATTATTTTGACTGTTGAATATTGGTAGGAAAACATTTTTCGAACGAATACACTAGGACCTGCAAGATCTGAGAATGATTTTGTTACAAGAGGTATTACCAGTCCTTATCTGGAGAGAACGGGTTTTCGACAAAATTATACTCTTTTCATTTTGTGAATAACAATATTGTTTTTCAACATTTATTGAGTGGTATCAATTCCTTTATATCTGGATGTACGTTGTCATATTGTTGACATGACACTTTATACTCAACAAACAACTTTTACAAAAAATGAAATTAACGCGAACATGAAATTGTCCATATTTATCCTGCTTGTTGATTTTCGACAAGATTACACTCTTTTCTTTTTGTAAATGACAATATTGTTTTTCAACATTTATTGAGTGGTATCAATTCTTTTATATCTGGATGTACGTTGTCATATTGTTGACATGACACTTTATACTCAACAAACAACTTTTACAAAAAATGAAATTAACGCGAACATGAAATTGTTCATATTTATCCTGCATGTTGGTTTTCGACAAGATTACACTCTTTTCTTTTTGTAAATGACAATATTGTTTTTCAGCATTTATTGAGTAGTAACAATTCCTTTATATCTGGATGTACGTTGTCATATTGTTGACATGACACTTTATACACAACAAACAACTTTTACAAAAAATGAAATTAACGCGAACATGTAATTGTCCATATTAACCCTGCATGTTGGTTCGTTATGTTACAAACGTATGGCCATCTACCTCTTTTAATGCTTTCAAAAAAAAAGCCTGACACATAAGTCCACCCACAAAAAGTGCCATTGCTCATACCATGCTGCTCCGTGTGTCGTCTTTACATAACATACGATCATCACGAAATCAAAAGGTGATACATGCGTGTGCCGCTGTTCGTATTATTAAGGTGACACATCTCGGCATACTGGTTCAAAGTCACATTTGGAAACAGTGATGCTATTTGCTATAACAAAGTTCCCCAAGCTCTATGTAATTTAGCCGGGGGCCTCACCGTGGTGCCCTGGTTTACAGAATATGACGTTTCGCAACGTATCTGTACCTGGCAACCTTTAACACTGTTAATCCTTTCAGTGAAAATGCCCAGTACAGTAGCAACGGCGATCCTTAAAGATAACAGTACATTGTTGGATTACATTACCTTGTGGTGCAATGTTTGATCGAGTCAATCCACCAATGACATCTTCTCCTTCTCCAAGCTAAACTCTGGTCCCTTTGCATTATTTCATTCTTCAAGGAGTTGCTGTTTGACGGTCTTGTTGTTTTTAAAAATATGTTTTAAAAGATAAGCAGACGAACCCGACGAAAGATAAGGTTGTATGATGGCGGATTGCCTCTTTATAAGGGGTCTTTGCATGAGGGTGGCTTCTCAGTGCTGGGTATTTGCAGGAAGACAAAGATATAGTTGGTGGTTTCATGTACAGAATCGGCATGAGGTGGGGTGTGGTGAAATGGGTTTAACGTCGCGTCCAAGATTATTGCACTTATATAGCGACGTGCATGTACGTGTGTGTGTTTGTGTGGCTGCTTGTACTAATCCGGACTGATGCCGATTTATAGTGCTAGCTCACTGAGATACCATGCCGCAGTTTAACATGAATACCCCACTCAGACACAGTATACTGACTCCGAGCCGACCAGTCCTTGTTTTAGCCCCTTAATGCCGAGCGCCAGACAGGGTAACAACACATACCAACTTTTAACGTCTTTTGGTATGACGCGGTCGGGGATCGAACCCCGGACCTTCCGCTCTCCGGGCGGACGCTCTACCACTAGACCACAGAGGCGGTCTAGAATCGGCATGAGAAAAGCGCTGGTTTGTTGGAGATGCACTAGTAAAGATTGCAGAAGAACCTTGAGAACTGTCAGCGACATGCCACTTGAAGAAGTGTGGTGACACTTGCAGATGTGCCGGGGCCAGCGTTCACCGATTCGCGTCAAACCTTCCTGGGTTGATGGAGGCCGGATCCAAACACGTCCACGTAGAAACAACCATCCGGGAAGTGGCAGGGGAGAATTAAGAAGCTGAGGGTCAAATTTTATTACAACGTTATTGAAATGATACAAATAATGTGTTTGTGGACAGAAAGTGGCGGAGAAATACGTCGCCCAATACTATGTTGGTCAGCGACGGCCTCCCATACAGAATGGGTGAGTGAGTGAATTTGGTTTTACGCCGCTTTTAGCAATATTCCAGCAATATCACGGCGGGGGACACCAGCAATGGGCTTCCGATTGTTCCCATGTCGGGAATCGAACCCGGGTCTTCGGCGTGACGAGCGAACGCTTTAACCACTAGGCTACCCGACCGCCCCCTCCCATACAGAAGATATTGGAGGGTATGCGGAGAGGACGCGACAGTTTGAAGTATAGTACTGTATGTATGGATAAGTTAGTACAGCACTGTAATGAGCAGTTAGTTTCATACATTATTAGATTTGCTCCATGTGTATCTACTTTCTGAAAAATAAATACAGGACGATAAATATAAGGATTCATGGCATTTCAGGCGTTTCCATGGATACACAGAAATGCATTATACCATGCAAATTCTCTAATTAAATGTTTTTCTTCAAGGCTGTTTACGAGTGTTCATGCTATCCTACACTCTGTGTCATCCATACATGTCAATAAACATCTTCAAGATCGAAGGTCAAGGTCATATTCATCAATTTTGTAGTTAATCTGGACTAATATTGAATATCGTCTCAAGAAGTTTGGCCGCGAAGTTTAACTTAAGTTTCAGACCAGTGAGTCCGCCTAATGTGTTTCATATTTAGATCTATGCATAGAGATTCCTATTGACAAAACGCTCTCCACAAGACTGTATGACAAGAGGGATGATGTCAACTTTCCAATAGTCAATTTCCCCTTCATGTCGAGCAATATTCCAGCAGCTCCAGCCCTTGGTGTCTACATTTCACAACGTTTGAGATAGAATCTCAAGATACCAGCTATATGACGGTGATCTGTAAATAATCGAGTCTGGACCAGACAATCCAGTGAGTGATATCATGAGCATCGACCGATGCATTGGATTCGATGACACGCATCAACCAAGTCAGCGAGCCTGACCACCCGATCCAATTAGTCGTCTCTTGCGACAAGCAAATTGTTCCATTATGGTTGTATGCTAGTTTTAAATATTAATCTGTGATATTCTAGTTATTTTACTGTCCATCGATGACAGGTTTTCATTTAGTCTAAATATATGTATCAAAAATTTAAAAAATTAAAATATTGCCGATGTGACGTAAAGCATTAACTCACTCACTCACTCTTATGAATATGTTGAGGTCTTTATTGCTTCTATAAACATAGGAATGCCCCCAAAATACTTGATGCCTGACACTTTTAAGTCTGGCAAGTGGAGATGCGAATACGTCTTGCTATAACCCCGATAGACCTGTTACAATTTTTGACTCCAGAAACCTCTGCTCTGCAAGAAATACGCAAGTCATGACCGTCATATTTTGATAAGATTAAAGCAATTTGGACATTTAAAAAGCTCTTTGTTAACCAGTTTAACAACTGTCATGTTTCTCATGAAGATAAACATATTTTGTCATTTTTTGTTTATCGCAAATAGAGAACGCCAACTCATGCACATCTGTCGGTATATTCTGATTTATATAACATCACAATTGTATGTATACAGAGCGACAAAACCCTTTCCATATCCAATAGAAATCTCTGCATAAAGCAGAGTCGATTGTACGTGATGGAAATATGCGCATGCGACTCCGTTATAATAATAATGTCTTCATAAAACATCTAATCCACATGAAACAAGTCAAATGGAAATAATTCTAGATGTTCATCTTATAAAATAACA